AACCCTAAACCCTAAACTCCTAAACTCCTAAACCCTAAGCCCTAAAATCCTAAACCCTAAACCCTAAACTCCTAAACTCCTTAACCCTAAACCCTAAACCCTAAACCCTAAACTCCTAAAACCTAAACCCCCCCAGGAGCCTACCTGTCGGACATGGGCCTTCGGACTTCTGTTTGGGGTAATATTGGGGCTTTAGGGTTTAGGGTTTAGGGTTTAGGGTAGAAATTAGAATAGAGTTTTAGGGTCCTTTCTAGTATAATTATATTAGGAGACCCCCCAAAATAATATAAAGAAATTCTTGGGGCCCCTATATTATGTTCAGTAATACGAGCTTGCGGTTTAGGGTTTAGGAGTTTAGGGCTTAGGAGTTTAGGAGTTCAAGGGTTTAGAGGTTTAGGATTTAGGAGTTTAGGAGTTCAGGGGCTTAGGGGTTTAGGGTTGGGTTTAGGGGTTTAGGGGCTTAGGGCTTAGGAGTTCAGGAGTTTAGGGGTTGAGGGGTTTAGGGTTTAGAAATTTAGTGGTTTAGGGTTTAGGGTTTGTTTCCTTAGGAGTTCTTGTCATAACTGTAATGGAATATACTCCCAAGCCCTCTTCGAAGTACGAATGGCTTTATACTAAGCCCTTGGTGCCCTTCTCGGTTCCTGGAAGGCACGATTAAAGGAACTCTATTCTAATAACCACGGCCCCTATGGTGTATGGATACCATAGATTCTCAACGAGGTGACTTCGAAAAAAACACCCTCATAGAACCCTCGTCGAATCATTGCAGTAACCCTAAAAGGAACCCCAAACCCTAAAACCTATGGGGAACTAATATAGGCGCCTTAATAATTAGAACAAGGTTTCGGGGGGTTCCTTGTTAGAATATAGTATGATGTACCCCAAACCCTATTCTCATTATTAAGGCCCCTATATTACCTTCCTCCCCAGCCTGAACCCTAAACCCTAACCCGGTCCTTGATCCCGTTCGCTCGCATGCGCTCCTCGGATTCGCGCGCGCATTCCGCCCAATCGACCTCTCGCTTTACGGATTTATGGCATATTGCCGTCGGCTTAAGATTTCCGGCTTTAGGGTTTAAAATTTAAGGCGTAGGGGTTTTACAGCAAGCATCATGGGCACGGGTGAAGATCTTTAAGACTCGTGTTCAGGTTTTTGTTCAGGCTTTAGTCCTAAACCCTAAACCCCAAACCCCATCCGACTCAAGGCTCTGACCAAACCCCAGTCCTGTTGCCCTGAACCCTAAACACGAACGCCTGGATGTGCAAACACACACACACACACACATATATATATATATATACTGCTCTATATGCATATATATATACAAATATATATATATATATATATATATGCGTATATATATATATATACGCATATGTATGTATGTATGTATGTATGTATGTATGTATGTACGTATGTATGTATGTATGTATGTATGTATGTATGTATGTATGTATGCATATGCACACACATCTATGTAAGTATATATATATATATGAGCGTATGTGTGTGCTAGATACGTCTACTACATGCAGTATACTCTGTAGATGTTTGTGCGTCAGAAGCTTAATTCTGGGCGTGGGGTTGGGAGAGTGGTGGCTTACGACAACTCTGGAAACATGCTTTGAAGAGCCGGACTGGTACTTGGAGGGTCGGGAGACTTAGTAAGTAGGTAATAAGTAGACTTATAAGTACCCTAAAAGGGACCCTAATTGGGGTTATAGTACTTATAAGTCTATGAAATAACCATTTACTAAGTCCCCCG